GCCACCAAACGAGCACAAGAAATAATTTTTTCGTTTACGTTTTCCGTAAAATATATTTGAATTTATAAAACCAGTCAAAATCAATTATAAATACGCACACTATTTAAGTAGTTACTTTCTACAGTACACACGTTTGGTTAGTGGTCTGAACGAAGCTCGGTAAAAAGTTCGCACCCTCTCATGACTGAAATAATATCAGAATAGACTGCAGGATAATCAGTATCACAACCTGAGTTAATGCCGGTTAGCGAAAGAGTATCAATCTTTCGCATATGTCGGCATGTTGCACGAATTCTGGCGCGTACTGTGTAGGCACACCCATAAGGACTGGTGAAAATTGCTTTTCCTCTTAATATTTGACTGTTTTTGAAGATTTGTCTTACCCAGACGTTTCTGCTTTTCATTCTTTCTCTCAGCGGAAGAGGCCCGAACAAAGCTGATTCAGTTGGATCGGCCGGCCCGTGAACTACTGATCTGGTCAATACTCGTGGGCAAGTTGCGAATGTGCGAATTGTTCTGGACAATGGAAAAGGTGACTCAGTGTTGCTATTTGATATTAAAAATAACTTCAGTACCGTTTGGATTAACATGTCCACAGCAGTCTCTGGCTATGCTACCCTTAGGAAACAAAAATACTACCGGAGGCAAAATACCTCCTGTCATGCAAGAAAATAGGCAACTTAAGAGGCGCCGATGAATGTTCTACCGCATGGAGGCCTAAAAGGCTAGAGTGGCGAACTTACCCTTTTTTATTTGTCCTCTACGTAGCAAACCTTATTTTTGGAGTTCAGAGACTTAAGTTCGCTAGAAACACGGAGAATACTAACTTGATATTCTTTTTGGTATAGTCTGCTTCGAAGAGAGAATAACGTAATGGCTGTCAGAAATTGATACCGCTGAAATTGTTTTTAGGCAGCATTGCCATTCACTGCTACCCTCTGAAATGCGCCTACCCAGAGGTGTGCTTTGAACGGCTGGTAAGTTGTGGGAAAGAAGTCCATTTCGCAGACACTTCTAAGGGAAAATAGTTATATCAGAGCCGGCTAGGGTACTTAACAGTTTCATATGATTTATTTGTCGACAATAATTTGCTTTGGAAAAAATTATAAAGAAAATATCATTTTAAATATAACCGAGCCGAGTTGACTACTTTCGATCAATTGGTGCTTCGGTTACCGTATTGCTAATTTTACCAGTGCTTCTGACATTTCTGTTATTGCGACCGCTATTTTATTGTCGGTGATCATGATGATTTACTTGTACTAACAAATCGGATTTTATTACTGCAATTACCAGTACACTGCTATTTATGCTACCACTACCACTACAAATTTTACCAAATATATCGTCTACAACTATATATATCTTCATCAAAGAAGCAGTATACTTCTGTCAAACCCCAGATGTGTTTCGAAAGTAATCAGGTAGGAAGTCGCATACGCTTTTTTGCTTTTTGAATGCGCTTTCCATGTTGGTGTGGGCGTCAAATTGATGGGTGGCTCTCGAATTGTGCACAAAATTTTTGGCACGTTACTTATCTATGGAGTAGAGTGTTTCTAGTTTTCATAGAAGGGTTTTTCACAGATTTAACCCGAATGGAAAAAATCTCGGTGGGATACAAACTCAGGCCTGCAATACAGCCAACGCTCTAGTCAACTAAGCTACGAGGTCCGACCGGAAGCCGTGAGTTTAACTGCACTAAGGCCAAGTTACCGTTCAGCAAAAAAAACCGAAACCAGAACTTTTACGTTGCTGGTTGAGTTTTCGAGACCATAGCAAATATCTAATATCTCAATGATGCGCTTAGTAGTTATTCAGTATGATTTCAATAAAACCAGAAGCGTTATGGTACTCCTTAGTCATTTATAAAACTTATCAAGTTTCTAAATGCATAATTCTTAATTACAAACTGTTCTGGTGCATTTCGTTCATGTGGTCTTTAACAGTGTCAATCTCGACACCTGATCGGAATCCTTTGCCCTTTTCCCAGATAAGAGTAACAGGACTCGCTGGAGATGCCCAGACGTATTCGTCTACGGCTTTTTAAGCAGGCTGGCAACATCCCAACAACGTATCCTATAAGAAAATTCCTTACTTATTCTGATAAAGCTGGGCAAACCACATTTACACATCGGTTGCGCAATCACTTACCTCCAACAACTACCCAAATGGAAGAATCCTTAATGCTGATAGGTACCTCTTTCCCACAATGGATTTGGGCAACAAAAGGAACTCAGAAGAGCATAACACACAAAAAGAGTTGGTCATCCTCTTGATTCCCGAATGAATACGTGTTCCTAGTCTCTTATCCTGATCCTACTACTTAGTCCAACTCGGAAATGAACCCTAATTTTGAGTATAAACGCAACCCTAATTTAAATAGTGAAATTCATAAGGGCCGCCTTTTTACGCAGGAAGGTTCCTACTCTCGTATTCTGCCATGATTTACAATTGCCACTGGGACAGGTAAGGAAGCGAGACTTGTTCAGCAGACCGAAACCTCTAAAGGTCACCCATATTGAGGTGCTTCCGTTGAACTAATTAAACGACTCTGTTGATGACAGACCTGCCTTCATGTTGAAATTCAAATGAGGTGCACTTTTATCAGACACCTTCATTTTTCTTAATGACTTGGCAAGCTGGCATTTTTCTTAAAGGAACCTATCGCCGCAGCGCTGATGGCTTCTATCCTCCTCTCAGCGTTGAGTTGCAAAACGGACGACTTTACGGACAAGGAGGACTACCGAAATTACGCCAAGTACGTGTCACAGGCGGCATAAGGGAATCTTGAATGTATGCATGAAACATAATTTATTGTACAAAAGATACAACATGCTTCAACAGTTAGTGTGTTTAGCGGTTTCACGTGACCGCGAATCAAGTTAAGGCAACTTCTGCTTCTTTGGTGGTCCTTTGATATGTCAAAGAAATTCCAATTGTCAAATTTGCCCTTCTGACGCATTTCCTGACCTTTTTTTCGAATTTAAAAGTCCTTGAACCTTTTGCATGCCAGCAGTTAAATATAGAAGGGAAAAACGTAGATCTCTGTACCCTCAAAATCTTTTGAGTGTGTTGTTTTTATTTAGGTCCCGCTTCTGAATGCAGTCCTACACCCATCACACATTCTTTGCCCTCTAGCTATAGTTGAATGTCAGTTAAGTGCATGTTTTGGCGTATCTAGGACACTTATTCGAGATGCTGACACTCGTAAGTTTAAACGGCTTTTAACTTCACCAAGCATGTTATATCTTACAATGCACTGGACAATATTTCTGCCGAACTGCAGAATGAAGGAGTTTTTCCCAAGTTCAGGACTCCCATATTTTGGAGACCCTCATAAGCACCCCATTAATGCCATCCTTACGTGCGCCCAGTCAGCGACCTCTTAGTTTTGTGTTAGGATATATCTGTGTGACAACTCAAAATCTTAGCACAGCTACTGAAACATACTTACAACAGGCTTAGCCAGAAAAAGGTATGGCTTCATACTAAAGATCTTAGTTGAACTTGAGCATCGTGTAGGAACAAAAAAGTCTATTGGTCGGTCTACAGAACATTAGAATTTCGCTAATGGCCACTGCGATAGCCTAACCTAACCGCAGACGAAGCACTGATTCTACAAACAAGGAACTCGGTTCCATGCACGGAGAAGACAAGGATAACGGCTCAAACTCAGCACTTACGTAATAATTTACTTTACTGACATTACAAGGACAAGCTAAAAGTCCAGAAACGTTTTTCACCGATATTCCACCGCTGTATGATACGGCTGAGAGAATTTCGGGTCATCAGTCGGTCCCCAGCATTCCCTTCACGCTTTCTAGTAGATTTTCCAATTTTGGCATTTAAATTTTTAATTTCCTCATAAAAAAACAATCTTACTTGGAGTAAACAAGTATCTTCAAGGGTTTAAAGGCACACAAGGAATGCTGGAGAGGATCCACTGATGAGCCGAACCCTTCGGAGCTGGGTCATACAAAGCCTAAGTGGCAACGAAACACGTGTATAGGTTTTCTGGCTGGTACTTGTACTGTCAGTATAGACAATGATTAAGTATTTATATGCTACTGTCTAACTCTCTCTCTCTGGCGCATGAGTTATCAGCGTAAGCCCACATTCTGGTTCCACCTGTACTCACTACCACGAGGGACAACAAATCAAGCTTCTATGCACGAGAAATCTCACTATCTTTTGATGTTTTCTGTAGCCGATCCCACGGCGTTGCCGTGTACTTTGTCGTAGATAATCCAGTTTTAAAACTGTTGGTCTTTAACTTCCTCAGAAATTAATCATTAACTTATAGTAACTCGGTGGGAATTAGGCTTTATAGGCGCTTAATGTGGCCAGATTTACTCCAACTTAAGGAGTACCGTTTGAGGAAATTAAAACTGTGCCAGGGAACGACTAATGTGCTTGAGCTTCTGGCTAGTATCTATGTTAATACAAGCGAAAATTCGAGTCCCCGAAAGTAACTAAGAAGCGACCGCATCTACTTCCCCTCAGACACCTGTGTTACCAGTATTTTAAACAAATAAATAGGTCATATTACTGGCTGCTTGTTGACAGTTTGCAAGTATTACCCGGTTATCCCGCAATGACTGATGGTCTTTAGCCTAACGTTGCATACCACATTTCGGTTTGCGCCTGTTGACCCTTGAATATATGCTAATTTACTCTAATATAGCAATTAATTTCCGAGAAAGTTAAAAAAACGACAACTTCCACACTAGTTGGTTAACCACACGCTGTGAATGACTCCAGATTTCTTCCAACTCATTTGGCTGTCTTTCAGTGATTAATAATTTTCCCCATCGCAATTACTATTTATACCTGCCCCCCTCAAACACTAATGGTGAGGTGCGCACGAGGGTAAATTGTGCGGAATTATCAACCCTTAAATGTTTGCTTTTTGTAGTTTTTCATTTCTGTTGGGACTGCTTTGAATGATTAGGCGCCTACCTGTTGTCTGTGAAATCCAAAGTGAAAATGTTTGAATTTCTGCCAAAATCTTGTTAGACGTACATGTAGCCGATATGAGAATTATTTTTGGAGTCTTACTACTTAAATTTCGAAAGAACTCATAGGATTTTGATGTGCATTTTCAGGGCTCTAACCTGCTTTTCTGCTTTGCGGCGCCAGCAATTTGTGGTGTTTTATTATGCAGACACCAATTCCTTTAAGCAGACAAGTATAGCATGCGAACCTGCTTGTAACGAAACATCTAATCCATTGCCAGTGCATATCGACTGGAATTGGAAGAAAATGTC